AAGTATGTTCGGTTCCCTAAAATTGATGCTAATATTCTCTTTCCCGTTTTGAAACCAAAAAAATGTAAAGTTTCCCCTGGAATTCTACATATTAAACAATTATGCCTAAAGTATTTATGAGGATGAAGTGTAAATCCTGTAAACGCCCTCCTCTAGAGAGTTAATCATCTAAGGTTCGATGATATAAGCTGTATAAATAAAGAGAACAGAGATATTGGATCAAGTTACCTATTATAAATATAATATCTATATTAATTGATTATATCTGAATGCTCAGTGTAACATATATACATACATTAGGCTAATTATATTGTAAAGAATAATATTATTTTTCATATATCTCACAATCTGGGGCGATTTACATATATATATATATATATATGTATATTTCTTTATATGCATATATTGGCTTCGGAACCCAACTTTGTCTGAAAACAAAACATTCTTTATTAAAGTCAATCCACTCAATCCACTCAATCCACTCAATCCACTCAATCCACTCAATCCACTCAATCCACTCAATCCACTCAATCCACTCAATCACTCAATCCAGTCAATCCACTCAATCCACTCAATCCACTCAATCTACTCAATCCACTCAATCCAGTCAAACACTCAATCCACTCAATCCACTCAATCCACACAAACACTCAATCCACTCAATCCACTCAATCACGTACTCCCGAGTTCCCCAATCAAAATTTGAGTCAAATCGATCAAATGTTATAATCGGACACACAAACAGAAATTATTAATCTATGTATATATAGACAAAAAGGTTGGTATGGTTCGAAAATATAAGTAAAATAATTGAGAAAAATCATTATCCGTTTTTTTTGCATCGAGATCTTTTTGAGAAAACTCATTTTTAATGGATCTACTTGAATAAATTCCAATTGCGTCAGTTTGTTCCTTTTTAAACCATTTTCAAGATCAGCTAGAACATTTTGTTACATTTATATAAACTAAACTAACCCTTTAAAAGTCAAGAAACTAAGTAGAGCTTTCATTATCCTGCCCTGCCATTCTGAGATTGCAGTGAAGGACATTACTACGTTATTCTACCGAGCTCCCCAAGTTTTCCGTATAAAAGTCGACATTATCAACTATAAATGTTCAAACCTAGCTCAGAATATTAAAGTTGTTCTACCGAGCTCCCCAAGTTTCCTTGTAAAAGTCGACATTATCAACTAAAAATGTTCAAACCTAGCTAAGAATATTATAGTTGTTCTACCGAGCTGCCNCCTAGCTCAGAATATTAAAGTTGTTCTACCGAGCTCCCCAAGTTTCCTTGTAAAAGTCGACATTATCAACTAAAAATGTTCAAACCTAGCTAAGAATATTATAGTTGTTCTACCGAGCTGCCCAAGTTTCCTTGTAAAAATCGACATTATCAACTAAAAATGTTCAAACAGTCTATTACTAAAGCTCTTACTTAAAGGGACTGTAAGCGTAATTTCAAGTGACCCTCCAAGCAAAGATGGCAATGTCTGATTTACAACAGTACCCTTGAAAGCTTTGTTTATACGAAGCAAAAGAAATAAACAGTGAGAAAAACGTCGATATTTTCCACATTTTGATCAGATTCAGGTTTCAAGGATACTGCTGTATATCGGGCATTAACATCTTTGCATGGAGGGTCACTTGAAATTATGCTTACTGTCCCTTTAAGTTGAAGCAAGTGCTTTAGTAATAAACTTGTAGAAACTTAACAATTATAATAAGTAGCCCTAGCTGAAACTATAAGAAAGTTTTAAATAATTGATGGCTCATCAAAAATTATGTTAAACCGGTTCAAATTCTGGAAATCATGGCTCGCAGAAACTAACTTTTCTGCCTGTATACATAGTTTTGAAAACTAAAATCTTGAGATAAACTAAACCTTGAGATAAACTAAACCTTGAGATAAACTGAAACCTGGAGATAAACTGAAACCTTGAGATAAACTAAACCTTGAGAAAACAGAAACCTTGAAATAAACTGAAACCTTGAGATAAACTAAAACCTTGAAATAAACTGAAAACTGGAGATAACCTTTACCTTTAGATAAACTGAAACCTTGAGATAAAGTGAAACCTGGAGATAAACTAAACCTTGAGAAAAACAAAAACAAAAACCTTGAAATAAACTGAAACCTTGAAAGAATGAGATAAACTAAAACCTTGAGATAAACAGAAACCATGAGATACACTGAAACCTTGAGATAAACTAAACCTTGAGATTAACCAAAACCTTGAGATATCATGAAACACTTTTGAAAATAGAATAGAATAGATTAGAATAGAATAAATAGAATAGAATAGAATTAAATAGAATAGAATAGAATAGAATAGAATAGAATAGAATAGAATATAATATAATAGAATAGAATAGAATAGAATATAATATGATATAATAGAATACATAGAATACCTCAAATTAGCAATTAAACCTTATTGACAATGCTGTTTCACATTAAAAGCACACATAATCCATATATTACTTGAATCTAGAAACTAGTTTGCTTTATCAACCTTCAAGACTTTGCAACCTTTTTTACCTTTAGTTTTTATCAAATATATATTATAAGACGGTTGTAGATCTGAATCTTAGAGATGTATTTATTTTCTGTAAAAAACAAACGTTTTTTTCTTTTAAGCTTTTGCAAATCTATTCAGTATTATTCTCTGCAATCGTAAACTTAAAGGATTGAGTTTAATTTAACCTTGAAATCTTCAGATTTAAAGAGTTTAAGGTCGTCTTTAAAGTTTCATCCTTTGTGGGGAACCCTGTAAATTACACTTTATTTCTAAATCATGGATAACCTGTTATTTTCTGCTTTTTAATTGTTGTATCAACTTAAACTTGTCAAATTCTGTTTTTTTTTGTAATTTGGACCCCAGCGTAAATTTCTTGTTTATCGTAAACAAACATATTTCTAAGAATCATTTAAATAGTTTTTAGCCATAATTATGGGGAGGGAGGGGGCTTCAGGTTTGAATACTCAAGTTTCCAGTATTCTAGTATCCTGTTACTCTAGTATCCTGTACTCTAGTATCCTGTACTCAAGTTTCCAGTATTCTAGTATCATGTTACTCTAGTATCCTGTACTCTCGTCTTAAAAACTCAGTATCCTGTATTCTAGTGCACTCTAGCATCCTGTACATTAGTATTCTTTACTCTAGTATCCTGTACTATAGTATCCTGTACTCTCTATCCTGTACTCTAGTATCGTGTACTTTAGTATCCTGTACTCTAGTATAATCTACTCTAGTTTCCAGTACTCTAGTATCCTGTACTCTAGATTTTAGAACTCAGTATCCTGTACTCTAGTGTACTCTAGCATCCTGTACATTAGTATTCTTTACTCTAGTATCCTGTACTATAGTATCCTTTACTCTGTATCCTGCACTCTAGTATTATGTACTCTAGTATCCTGTACTCTAGTATCATGTACTCAAGTTTTCAGTACTCTAGTATCCTGTTACTCTAGTATCCTGTACTCTAGTATCCTGTACTCAAGTTTACAGTACTCTTGTACTCTGTTACTCTAGTATCCTAGTATCCTGGACTTTAGTCTTAAGAACTCAGTATCCTGTACTCTAGTGTACTCTTGTATCATGTAGTATAGTATAATTGTACTATAGTGTACAATAGCATTCTGTACTCTATAAGTGTACTATTGTATCCAGTACTCTACTGTAGTTTATTCTAGTACTCTGTACTCTATAAGTGTACCATAGTATATAGTATATAGTCTATAGTATCCTGTACTCTGGTGAATTTAATCCATATACCAATTATAACTGCAAATGATAATAAAGGTTTGCCTTAACTTAGAAAGATAAAAATAGATAAAATGGAAGATCAGCTGGTGCTTTAGATTTATAAAGAATCAAGAAATTTTTATTTTTATGGTTTCTTTAAAAACTGTATTTTTAATTGCGATGATTAAAATCAAATAATCTACTTTTTTACTAAAAAATATATAAACTTTTCTTCAAGCAGACAAACAATTGTATAGACTTATAAAAATGGTTAACTTACTCCCATTTGTGAGCAGAAAAAATGGTTGAATTAAGTTTTGATCAAATATTAGCTGTTTGAGAAAGAGGAGAATAGAAATAAAAGTTTGAATCTTTGAATAAAATTTTAACTTTCAGGACAATTAAAAATTTTTTATTTTCGTCATAAAAGCTGCTTCTTTGAAATGATTAAGTGTTCTTTAATTGAAGAGAAAGAAAATCAGTTTGATTGTTAATTTCAAAATATATCCAAACNTTATATTAATAGAAATCAAATAATGAGGTTAATGGATTTCTGAATTCTGGATTATACTTAATTGAAACCACTTCATTTCTGATAATGATTAAAGTTGTTTTTTTCATTTTTATTCAAATATTTCCTTTTTTTAGTTTTTATCATCAGAATCATAATATTTAAGGTTCATTTCTAATAAGTATTAATGTATTTTTCTTTCTTTCTTAATTTTGTACTTTTATTTAGTTTTTAACATCAACATCAAAATTGTTCAGCAACTAAATCTTAATACATTATTTTTTGCTGCTTCCTTTAAATGTAAAACTTGAAAAAAGAAAGAGTAACAATAAACTTTAATAAAAAAACAGAATTTACAATTTACAATGTCAAATAGTCTTTTAGCCTAAAAATACAATATGAACCAAAATAGTAAATAAATGTATAAAAGTGGAGTCTGTAACAAGTATATATCCTTGAAGACTATAATTACTGGAGAAAGTTAGGTTCTAATATTTTGTCCAGGCTGAGACGAAACACGAGTATTGATTCAAAACCAATAATAAACTGAATTCCTGGAACAATACTCAAACCAAAAAAGATATAAAGAAATCACAACGAGTTTTTTAAAATACATTTTTCTTGTTTGGAAATAACTACAGTTTCTCTCCATTTTCTGTCATTTTTGGTAACAACAACAACAACCACTCATTAAACTAATAGACAAGGAAAAAATCTTGCTCAATTTTCAAAAAAACAAAATGGCGCAACATCTTTCAGAAAAAATGCGGGAGCGCAGAAAACTATCTTGAGAGATTTCTCTGGTCCTGGGTCGGAGGAAGAGTAAAGAGAAAACTTGGCCAGTTGTTGATACCATGGCGAAACAGGTAGAAGTCGAGGAAAACAAATAGAAATAAAAAAGGGGGAAATTAATAATTAATGAAGAGACTGATTCACAACTGCAGCCCTGAAAACCTTTGACGGAGAAAAAAATGTAAATGAATTCATGAAGAAGTTGGAATTAAATCAAAAGAAAGCAAAGATTAACAAATAAATATTATTATTAAACTGATAAATTCAGAATGTTCAACTGATAAATTCATAATGTTCAATGTTTCAAGATTAAAAATAAGGAATAAGTAAATTAAGGAATAAGTATCAAGGACCAAAAAGCAGGAATTAATGATTCATCAATTAAGAATTCTGATTCCTTCTGTTCTTTGGTGCACAAATCTACAAGTCACTTATACAAGAACCACATTTTAAAATTAGCATTTTTCAATTTTTTTTTTTGACTCTTTCTTTTGACGGAGGGTAACTTAACAATCCCTTTAACGATGATTGTAAACGTGAAAAATGAATAAATTTAATGAATGGAAAATTATTTGAATTCTAAACTTTTTATTTTCCCTTTGATAAATCTATTTGGGGAATTCTTAGCTTACGGACTGGAGTAGTAATCAGGGAATTGGGTTTAAAGGAACTTTACAAAAAAACGGGGCATCACATCAAGCTTGCGCAAGGATGCCCCGCCATTTTATAAACTGATTTTTAGTCGTCTTTAGATCATTTTTCATTCCATCTTTTCTTGCAATTCATGTTCTATCAATATTGGAAGAAGTGCAATTTTTCGAATTTGTCTTAACTTATTTTAATGAATATATCTACAAAATGTCAGAGATTTATTTTAGAATAATTAAGTTTTAAACTACAATTGTGAACTGTTCCTTTAATACCCGTCAACTTAAGTTTTGAATCAAATCCAATCCACTTACTTACTTCCTTTAATCAACTAAACAAGAGCATAGGAATAAGGTAGAAGTAGCTGAAAGGAGCTAAGAGGAGTTAGGAGGAGCTAAAGGGAGCTAGGTCGGATCTAGGAGGAACTTTGGGGTGCTAGAGGAGCTAAGTGTAACTAGGAAGAGCTAGAAGGAGATAGGAGGAGTTAAGAGGAGCTAGGGGGAGTAAGGAAGAGCTAGGTGAAACTAGAAGGAGCTGGTAGGAGCTAGGAGTACCAAGATGAGCTAGGGGGAGTAAGGAGGAGCTAGGTGAAACTAGGAGGAGCTAGAAGGAACTAGGAGGAGCTAAGAGGAGCTAGGAGAAGTTAGGAGAAGCTAGGAGGAGTTAGGAGGAGCTCGGAGGAGTTAAGATGAGCTAGGAGGTAGGTGGAGTTAGGAGGACCTAAGAGGAGTTAGGAGGAGCTAGTAAAAGCTGGGAGGAGCTAGGAGGAGATAAGGGGATTTAGGAAGAGCTAGGAGGAGTTGGGAGGAGCTAGGAGGAGTTAAGAGGAGGTAGGAGGAGGTAGGAGGAGCTAGGAGGAGGTAAGATGAGCTAGTAGGAGGTAGGGTGAGCCAGGAGTAGCTAAAATGAGCTGAAATTAGCTAAAATTAGCTAGGAGGCGCTAGGAAAAGCCAAGCATAGCATGTTATGTATGAAAAGCTAAGCCTAGCCTGTTTTGTATTAGTTAAATTATATGTACAATATATATTTATCAGAGTGGATCCCGCTGGCACAGGTTGCTAACTACCTTCAAATCCAAGAACAAGGACGGGACCAACTCCAATATAGATTCATCGTCACAGAAACATTCTCACAACTGCTCCAATAACGGTCTCAGGGTTGGAGTTTCCAATATGAAAGGATACAAGAAATCCAATCAGGAAATTAGGCTTTTTTCATTATTAAAAATAAATGGATAACTACCCCCCCCTTCTTTACCTTTATCTTTTCTATATTTCAATAAGGTTCTTTACTAGATCAATCTCGATCTCATCGTTAAAAATATTCCTTTCATCAAATTATTTAATTTTATTTTCAAACTCCGTTCTAATTTTCAGCTTGAGAAAAGAAGAAATGTTTATTGTTTATTCATAGCATAGTTTGAAGCCTAATATTGGAGTAGGATCGTTGCACTGCTTTCTCCTACCTAGAGGGGGACCCGGATCTAGCATTTTTTGCTGTGTATGATGGTCACGGAGGAACAGGAGTAGCAAACTATCTCAAGGATCATCTTCATCAATTCATCCTCTCACAAGCAGAATACAGGTAAATAGTACACTGTACAGTGTACAGGTAGACAGTACACTGTACAGTGTACAGGTAGACAGTAAACTATACATTGTACAGGTAGACAGTACACTATACAGATAGTCAGTATACTGTACAGTTATACAGTACACTGTACAGGTATACAGTATACTGTACAGGTATACAGTACACTGTACAGGTATACAGTTCACTGTAAAAGTATACAGTAAACTGTACAGGTAAGGCATACAGTACGCTTAACAGTGTACAGGTAGAAAGTACACTGTTCATTGCACAGCTAGACTGTAAACTGTACAAGTAGACAGTACGGATAGACGGTATACACTGTACAGGTAAGGTATACAGTAAACTGTACAGGTAAGGCATACAGTACGCTTAACAGTGTACAGGTAGAAAGTACACTGTTCATTGTACAGCTAGACAGTACACTGTACAGGTAGACAGTACGGATAGACAGTACACTGAACAGGTAAACAGTACATCGTACAGATGGACAGTACATTGTAAAGGTAGTCAGTACACTATACAGGTAGTCAGTACACCGTAAAGATAGTCAGTACACTGTAGGGGTAGACAGTACACCATACAGGTAGACAGTACATGCTACGGGTATACAGTACACTGTACAGGTAGACAGTTCACTGTACAGGTAGACAGTACACTGCACAGGTTGACAGTACACTGTACAGGTTGACAGTACATTGTAAATGTAGACAGTACATTGTACAGGTTGACAGTACACTGTACATGTAGACAGTAAATTGTACAGATAGACAGTACACTGTACAGGTAGACAGTACACTGTACAGTGTACAGGTAGACAGTACACTGTACAGGTAGACAGTACACTGTACAGGTAGACAGTACACTGTACAGGTAGACAGTACACTGTACAGGTAGACATTATGCCAGAGGGTTGAAATGTGTTGAAAGTTATGTTTTATTAACTATTAACAGTCTAGAAAATCTGAATCACTGTGCTTTATCATTCTTTTATTATAGATTGTATAACAATAATAAAGAGATACCAAATATTCAATTTTCGGGGATATATAAAATACAGAATCAACAAAACATTAAGTATCTATACAGTTCAATAAACACTAAGATAATATTCTAAAAATTTTGAATTCAACTTATCATTCTAGCATTCTCGTCAAAATAAAATATCTGTCTTCTTTCTGTATTGTAAATTATATTTTGTATATTGTATATTGTATATTGTATATTGTATATTGTATATTGTATATCGTATATTGTATATCGTATATTGTATATTGTATATCTTGAGTTCTTTTCCCTTATGTCCATTTGACAGCCCAAATTTTTATTTTGAATAATCTTTTTGTTTGTTTATATTCTTGTGATTTTTACATTTTTTTATTTTTTTATCGATTTTGATGGTTATTATATCGTTAGAACTGACGAGGGTCAACCCAGACCGAAATATATTTTCAATAAATGTGGAACTAACATTTACTTTTTTACTCTACAGAGGTTTGGTCCATCACCATCACTGAATTTTAAATATTGTATATTGTATATTGTATATTGTATATAAAGATGAAGTATTGAAGTGAAAAATCTCTAAGAATGGAAAAACAAGGAAAATGTTTTATCTCTAAAGTTCTCCGTCTCATATTTTCCAAGAAAAAAGTTTGAAATTTAAATTGAAAACAAACAGAGTTTAAATAAATATAAAATACAAACTGTTTAAGATTAACAGATATAAAAATGTAGAATAAGAAATCAAAAAAAGACAATCAAAAGAAAAAAAAATTGTTATTTATTAAATTAAAATCTATCATTACATTGAATGAGAAGTATTTATCAATGGTTAAACAAATTTTTAGAATCTTATGAAATATGATGCACCAGAACCCTTGTATCTTTGTTTGCCGAATTATTGAAAATCCAGCATTGCCAACACTAAACACCGCGAAAATATTAGGTTTAATGACGACATGTAAAGCAAGAGTTAAAAGCTAAATGTGTTACTAGAATACTAGAATACTAGAATACTAGAATACTAGAATACTAGAATAATACAGTAGTGAACTATGAAGTCCGATTCATTTGAAGTACCGGAACACCATATTATTTTAATTTTCCGATACCGCCTGATCCAATCAGGGTTCAGTCAGGAAATATTCACTTCTTCTTAAACTACAGTGGGAATCAAGGTTATAATGCAAGGAAAGTTATTTGCAGTTGCGTATACTCTGCGTATATATTGAAACCAGTTCTCTCTGGGCGGAATTTGTAAACGAGAATAGATGCATCAGTGTTCTTTTAGTATCCGAGGAGGTTAATGGCATTGAATTTTTGATCATTCACATAATAGTTTCCTATGACCAGAATATTTCATTGATTTTTTATGTGAAAGATGGATCCCATGTAAGGCTTCGACATCCGTCTTGTGTTTACATTACCACCGAGAGACAGTTTACTGCAGTATAAAAGATGCGTACACTTCTGAAATAACTTTCCTTGCATTATTACCTTGGTTGGAATTATCAATAAGCAGATAGCTTACATACGTACAGACAGACTATATAAGGCAAAACGGGACCCTACACCTAATGAATCAACCCCTCTTGTGAGGTTATTGTGAACAGTTTACAATTTATTATTTACATTGTTTCACTGTACAGGGAAGGTGATATACCGGAAGCTATTCTCAAAGGATTTCTAGCGGTTGATTCGGAACTAAAAACCTACGGAAATGCTACAGAATTAACGGGCAGCACAGGTATTCTATACAAGTTTAAATTCGTACTTTAAAAAAAACTTGATTGGCAATTTTATTGTGATTCTTAATGACCCTCTTTCTTTAAAAATGTTGCTGCCCTATACAGAAAGTTACCCTGAGCAAAAATGCTAAAAAAAAATTCTATCAGAAAACTGTGTGGATTCTAGGGATTTCTGGATTTTTTCAGTAGATAATAAAAAACAAATGGTCAAAATTTTACACTTTCCATACATCATACTGTTTATAGCTCTCAATTGAGATTTTCGGGACTAATCAGAAAATGTTAAAATTGAATGAAAGCTGTTTAAAAATCGTTTAAGGCTAATTAAAAATTTGCATGCTAGGTGTTTAGAACAATATGTAATATGTTTCTACGTTTTTGGCGTTAAAGCTTGTTGGAGATAATCCAATATGATATGACGGGACGCTCTGTAAAAATAACGACGATTAGTTAAATCAAGGTTCAATGGGTACTGTTGTGAATTGGGTGTGCATCTCTTAAAATTACGTAGACACTCCCTTTATTTATCATGATTATGATCTTAATTTAGCGACGTGTGTTTTGATTAAACACGGAGACATTCTTGTTGCAAATCTGGGAGACAGTCGAGCTGTTGCTAGTGTCGGGGGACTTGTCAAGCAGATTACACAAGATCATAATACATCAAACCCTAGAGAGAGGGAAAGAGTTACAGCAATGGGAGGAGTCATCAAGGATAATAGAGTTGGTGGAGTACTTATTCCTACAAGGTAGGTGGAGTACTTATACCTTCCAGGTTGGTGGAGTACTTATACCTTCCAGGTAGGTGGAGTACTTATACCAGGCGGATAGAGTACTTATACTAGGTAGGCGGAGTACTTATACCTTCCAGGTTGGTAAGTACTTATTCTTACCATGAAGTACTTATATCTTCCAGGTAGGTGGAGTACTTATACCTTCCAGGTAGGAGGAGTACTTATACCAGGCGGATAGAGTACTTATACTAGGTAGGCGGAGTACTTATACCTTCCAGGTTGGTGGAGTACTTATTCATACCAGGAAGGTGGAGTACTTATATCTTCCAGGAAGGTGGAGTACTTATACTGGGTAGGTGGAGTACTCTAAAGTATGACAATTTTATTAACTTTAAAACGTACATCCGAAAAAAGATGAAAACAAGTATAAAAACTATTTGTTATACCTGATGGTTTATAATAATACCAACTAATCCATATAATCAGTTAGATAAGTGGAATGGTTTATATCACAACAGGCGGGGAAATAAAATATTTTCCCGTAGTAACTTTATAATTGTGCATTTCTCTTCATAAACTATTTTTAAATGCAACTGCAACACTGGACCCCGGTCCATTTTTTTCTCTCACGGTCAAAATTTGGCATAATACAAGAAAAGCAAATTTTCTAAATTTTTGTCTTGTTTTAGTAGTTCAAATTTTAACCTTGGAAGAAGATATATTGAAAAAACGATATTTTTTGGATCGTTTCTCCAATTTTTATTTTTATAGGATAAAGATATTGCAAAGTTTAACAAAAGAAAACTTTAACATCTTTAAATCTTGAAAGTTTTATTAATTTTTTCTAAAAACAATCCAAAACAATTAAGAACAATTAAGTATCTTAGCGTTTTACATACATGGGACCCATACAACGTGGAATAGGATTAAGACATATAAACGTGTTATGTGTATTTCATGTTGTTTAATGCAAATGGTATTTCCAATAGCTTTAAAATCAACGAATTAAGTTAAATAGGTCAGCGTGAAGTGTGCAGTGTGCAGTGTGCAGTGTGTGTGTGCAGTGTGCAGTGTGCAGTGTGCAGTGTGCAGTTCGTTGTAAGATCGATCCCCACCACCACTTTATAAATATACGTATAAACAGTTTGTTTTTTGACAGAAACAATCTCAAGTAATAATAATTGTCTTTAAAGATTTTTTTAAAATGAATATTTGCAAATTTTTTTTTCCATCTTATGATCTGACTTCGTTTCCCTTTTGTCCATTTGATAGCCCAAATAAAAAAAAATGTTTTTTTTTGTGTATTTTCTTGTAGTTTTTAACAATTTTTATCGATTTTGATGGTTATTATATCGTTAGAAAAGGATCAACCCAGACAGAAATATATTTTCAATAAATGTGGAACTAAAATCTACTTTCTTTTCTCTACAGAGGTTTGGTCCAAAACTATCACCGAGTTTTAAAAGAAAAAAACATGCTCCGTGTAAGTACACAAAACATGTTGATTCAGGGTTAAGTGTACAAAAACAGGTTTAAAGAGATTATCAACTTATTCATCATATGTTCGCTTAAAATGTAGCCTCAATATTAACGAGGAACGGTCAATGTTCCTCGTTATGAAGCTCGCAATAATTTTCTTTAATGTAAAAATGAAAACTCGCTTCCGTGTATGGTTATGCGAAAGCATGCACACTGTTAATTGTAGCATTTTCCAATACGAGATAACACGCACTGTGTTTGTAGTATCTCCCAGTCAGATTTCATAAAAGTATGCTATCCTTTAATATATAATGTAGTTTTTTCTCTCGAACTGCTGCTTTACCAATACTTGAATATAAATTTACCAGCAATTCAGACATGAAAAAACGAAAATAAATGTATCTGTTAAAATTAAATCTCGAACTTAATGATTTATAACTATATGTAAGAAAGTTTTGTGTTAAATCCATATTAACAATCTTGTAACCTATAATGATACGTAAAATAAATATCTAGATTTTAAACTTATTCATCATTTCCTTCATTTAGGAAACCATTTGAATCGTACAAAGAGTATGAATTTTCGCCACCGCTTTTCTATTTGTGGTTTGATTTTTACAGCAAAGACAAGCGATAAAATGACTTATTCCAGAGAAAATCTATCGTTTGTGGGATATAAATTTCATGTGAAATTTAAATGATTCAAAAGATACTTTGATCAAATTGAGGTGGATTAAGATTCATATGAAAATAGATACATAAGTCTACGCTTCTAACCCCCCCCCTCTAACCCCACCCCATCCCCCCCAAGTGCCAATCGACCATTACCGTTTTCTATTCTTGAAGTGTTTGTTTTTCTTTAGACTTAGTTCAAACTTTGTGAAGAACATGTGTGCAACTTCATAAATTTCCCATATTCATTGGAGATCTACATTTATTTACTCAAAAATATCCTTAATTCTTTCTAAATAAATTAAACCACATCATTAATATATATCATATATGTAATTACGTGTATTTTTGTGTTTTCATTCGGTTTAATATTCAGAATATAATTTCAATTGGACAACTGGGGGGCTTTGTGAAAAAAATACTTTAAGATGTCTGAGTTCCCCTGCTGCAGTAATTTAAATTATATTTTATTTTAATTTTTTTTGTTTGCTGAAGATCAAAATATGATTTGATATTTCTAGCAGATCTGTCAAATTACTGATGAACCAAATTGTTTTTTATTCATCATAAATTGGTATCTTTAGAAAATTTCGATACTGCGTCTGAAATCCATTAACTAAAAGTTTGCTCTAATGTTTGTTTTTATTTTTAGAAGTTTCGGAGATTTTCTTCTTAAATCTGAACCTGATAAACCTCCATGGAAGCAGGTAGTGTTAAATCTGAACCAGATAAACCACCATGGAAGCAGGTAGTGTTAAATCTGAACCTGATAAACCACCATGGAAGCAGGTAGCGTTAAATCTACAGAAATTTTGCAAATGATTTTGCAAAGAAAGAAACAAATTCACAAATGTAAGAAATGGACTAAGAACCTTTTTACAGTCGTCTCTGAAGTCTCATCTCTAGGGGGTTCAACCCTAAACCTACCGAGGGATAGGTCCTAATATTATATGTGGTGCTACAGAACGTAGAACGTTTTTTATATAAACAAAGTTTCTACAAAATGGCGGACCATGCATTTGATGTGCGAAGAAATGTCAGAGACGACATGTCATTTTTTTTAAGAAATCACTCACATTCATCATTTGAGATTTTGCCCCAAACTCTTATTTTCTGATCCGTTTATCTTTGCAACTTGATATTGTACAAATTTTATATTTCAAAATCTGAATTATTATATAGTCTAAGTTATAAATATCAAAAGTTTTAAACTATTAGGTTGAGAATTTCGTAGGGAGTAACATATTTAAGTTTGTGGCACGAACTCAGTTCCTATATTAGGAGAGAACTGTATTTGTAACTAGAGCATGGAGAGAAAGAAAGAATAAAATCAAAATCATATTCAATAAAATAAAATTATTATAATTTCAGGTAATTTCTCCAGTTCCCCAGATTGAGGAGTTCAAGATCAACTCCGGGTGGGATTTTCTAGTCCTAGCTTCGGACGGAGTCTGGGATGCAATGAGCAACCAGGATATTCTCAAGTTCATCCGAACCCGGCTGGACAGTAAACTCAGGTATACTTTCTAATTGGTCAGATTAGGACTAGATTAGATATCTAGGTTTAATTGGAACCAGTGTTAGAGTGCATCTGGACTATGGGACATCACATTTTGTACATTTTCCATGCAAACTTATCTGGGACTAATCAGGACGAGATGCGCTCAGAGCTGGGAAATTTACAATGGATAACCTTTAATCCCAACTACTTAATCCGAATATTCACTGTGGAAACGTTTAATTTTAGTCCTTAATTCACACGTTTTCTATCTCTTTGGATATCCGTACATTGTTTTCTCCAATGAGAGTGCAGGAATATAATTCGTAAATTGTATTGACCAATGACAGCCTTGAAAATGAATTCTTTTCCATGAGAGAAATCCGCAATTGCTAACATATTAAGTTGTCGGACAATTTGTAAATTAATCGATGAAGAAAAATATTTAATAATACGAAGAAATCTGGCGTTCCTAGAATCAAAATTGTTAATCTAAATATTTAATGTCAAGACTAACATAATCTCGAGATTATGATAGTTTCGAGATTAGTAAAAACAAAGGATTAAGCATTAATCCTGATATCCACCATTCTAAAGTTCCCAGCTCAGTTTCTTCAATTTTAATTTAACCACGTTTTATTCTATATTCAAGAATCTTTAATCTTACGGAGTTGTCTTTTCTTACCGAACAATTAAATCTGCGTGACCTGGTTAGCTGCTAGACTAAATTTTTGTGCCACAAACTCGAATTTTCTATCTTTGCAACCTGATGGATGTAAAGCTTTTATATTTCCAACTGGGTTCTAATTCTATGCCGATTCTTCTTGTCTGAAAGGATTGTGTTCAGGGCAAAAGACAGAATTGAGAGCGTGTCAGGTCATCATTAAAGTTTCCTCCTTTTTTGAAGTAACTCTATAAATATACAGTGATAACCAGAAAACTCTGGAATATTATTTTATAATAAAAAACTTTGATAATCTAGTTTTAGCTTTAAAAAGTTCAATAACCATGAAACACAGCAATTGTGCAGTGTAAACAGACCCATTTCACAAAAAAAAGTTTATAAGTGTCTGGTAAAACTATTTGCTTTGTAACACCATCAAATACACTTAAGTATTGCTATAATGTCGTCTTCCTATTCTATTGTTTTTTGGTTGTCACAGTACACAAAATATGAGTCTTCAGAAACGACTGTACGGATTTTATTCCGTTTTGATTCTTACATTATTTGTTCACCGAAATTGTTTTTTTCTTTGTTAAATAATTAAGTTATATCTCTTTAAATAATATTTATCTTTTTTTTTGCATAAAATAATTTTTTTTCTTGTTTTTTATTTTTCCCTTTTTTTACTTAATTTTACAAAGTGTGTACCTTGACCATATGTCGATTTATTTTTGTCCAATCATCACAGAATTTTTTTTCTAAAATGGTTTATATTTAGAATAATTGAGATGGGTTTTTACAAATTGAAATTGCATATAACATATTATATAACATATTATATAACATATTATATAACATATTATATAACATATTATATAACATATAATTATTATTATTATCATTATCATTATTATTATTGCTATTATTATTATTATTATTATGATTATTGTCATGCATTAGTAAGGATTAACAATACTTCAAACAAAAGTTCCGATATCTGATTATTTTTGACATTGTCAGTTATTACAATTAAATGAATTAAGATAAAAAAAATTAACTCAAAGAGATGCACCTGCTCTAATATTATTATTAACAACATTACCATTTATTACTATTATTATCATTATTATTGTAATTATTCAGATATGGTAAGAACTCGTGTGACAATATGACTGTAATCCTAATCTGGTTTGATCATGGAAGCAGATCTGAGACGGGAAGCTCCGTGGTTAGTTCTGTTGTCTCCAGATAGCCTTCACCCGTCCCATATCCTCCAGTGGATTCTAAACACCTGGAGCAGACCGTCCCAACATGCTCCGGACTTTCTCATCCTTCCATCTGATCTCTTGATGGTCCTTCCCCCTCCATCCTATCCATCCTATCCATCCTATCCATACGGTATTGAAGGAACCTATGTACAGTGAAGAGGTGTACAATAAAAAGTTTAGGCGAGAAAAGACTCCAAAAGTAACTGAGCATAAGAAAGATTTACAAGAACAAGGTCCATTTTACAATGTAGAGGACCAAAAATTAATAATTAAGCATGACTATTGTTATTATATAGAGTTACAGCCAGAAAAATTATTAAATAACATTATTTTTGAACGAATATTGGAAATCCTAATTTTTTTTAGAAAAGTCATTTTTTTTATACCGATAGTTGGAAGAATCCTGATATATGATTTAGCAAACTAGTTTGTGATAACAATTTTACTCCAATTAAACCCTTGAATATCAATGTACTTATGGAATTTGTTTCTGAATTCTTAAAGGGGTTTGGCGCAAATTATGATTCAGTTTATTTCTACATTTTTATTCCGATCTGATGTCTCTTTAAGGGTTATTAGAGAAAAATCATCGATAACGGACCTTAAACAATTTAGAATAATTTCTCAGGTAGAACCTGCTTCCTTGCAGATTATTTTTCAGGCCCATTTCAGTCGGTTTTAATTAAAAAACTCTTTTCAGAAATAATAAAATAAATTTAAATCGATCAACCAATTACTTAATAAATAATCTCTATAAATTGCAGTTAGCCTGATATCAATAAATCATTTAACGTTTTTAATTAAAAATTAAAACCTCTTAAAAAAAGGAAAATTAAAACACAAAATGTAAAATTTTTATAAATCAAAAAAGAAATTACGCACTTGTTTACAATATTATTACTATACTTTCACTGTTGTCATTTTTGTTTTCTTTAAATGAAAGATATATAAGAAAAATCAGAATTCCAAAACTCAAGATCATCTTTGATCTTATTCTGAAAATGCCGCAAAACATTTAAAGACTTTTATGTGTGTAATACTTCAATCTAAAATAGTCTATGTGTGTTTTATTAATATTTTTATTGCATAAACTTTTCAGCTCAAACCCAAGGTTAAATTTAAGTATTTTGTATACACAGGGTTATTATATCATATTGGAAAATATAAAAAGCTTTCACACAAAACTTTTTTTTCTTCAAAATTTACCAAACGTTGCAAAAGAGCTTAAAAACTGCAAGAATAAAAGTTGAAGTCCGTCATTAAACCCAAATTAAGAGAAATACGGGATCTCGAATAAATAAGACACGCCCTGTATAAAATCATATTTCTACCCGTCCTTACACCATATCATATATGATTTGTGTCTAATTCACCTTTTTCTCTCAGTTTTATGTGTTCATGCATTTATGCTCTGTATAATGTACATATGTACAATTTACAGATATATGTATATGCAATATGTTCATTACTTGCAGTGACTGAACCATTTTTGAACGATTGCATTGTACATTAAGTATTGTACAATGTCCTTTGTACACTTCACTCTGGCATTATTGTACTAATGTATAAGTTATGTGCAGTGAGAACAAGAAAACTTTGGAATAGGAAGACGACATTATAGCAATCCTTAAATGTATTTGATGTTGTTACAAAGGAAAAATTGTACTATAGTAACTTATTAAATCACTCATTAAGTTAAATGGGTCTGTTTACACTTCACAATTGCCGTTTGTCTTGTTCAATGCGCAGTAACTTAAGTTTGTTTTCAAACTTTTGGTAAATATTTGCTTTGGAAAAAAATAAAATAATTATAAGGTTGCTTTGATATCGTCTCTCTCTATATTCCAAAGGTTTATGGGTACCAGTGTACAGAGTGCAATTATTAGGCAAAGAAAGAAACAAGTTTACCATTGCAGAGAATGATAAATATCAGAAAACAGACGGTATACATTCTGTACAGTCGTATCTGAAGTCTTATCCTTTGTGGGTAAACCTGTACGTTTCCTACAAAAATGTATGCATTTCCTCATATACATATACAATAAGCGTATTTAATATAATCTATTACGCTATTTAGATTACAAAATATAATTTAGTTTTTTTTAGATATTTTCCTGAACTATCCCTCTAATCTTATTTTTTTATGAACTCATGAGTTCTGAAAATAACAACTTATTGTGGTAAAACTGAAGAATCTGTTGGAACATTGTTACGTCAGATATTGCACAGATTTGAATATATTTATGAATGGAAAAGGGGGACTTTTGTGTAACTTTATTTTTCGTAATATTTGTGATATATTCTGTTGTAGATTTAAAAGTATATAGAATCCCGTATAAATGTATATTATATAAATATAAAATAATCATTTTCAACATTTATGGTCTTATCTTATGGAAAGTTTATGACAATAGGAAATAGATTACATAATTTTTTACGGGGAAATATTTCAGAACAGAATACGCAAATATTTTACACATTTAAAATGGTCTAGGAAATTTTCGAAAGCGTATAATTTGTTATTTTATGTGTGAATAAACTGGATTTGCAATAAATATTTATAATTTTGTATTTTTGCACATTAAGTTTTCCAATACTAGAATCCATTATTCATATTTTTAATCCTCTCGGGTCATCAATAGAGCTTTAAAACAAGTGTGTGTCCGTGAGGTAACCCATAAACGATGAGGTATCCCATAAACCATAAGGTATCCCATAAACGATGAGGTATCCCATAAACCATGAGGTATCCCATAAACGATGATGTATCCCATAAACGATGAGGTATCCCATAAACGATGAGGTATCCCATAAACGATGAGGTATCCCATAAACAATGAGGTATCCCATAAACAATGAGGTATCCCTATCCCATAAACGATGAGGTATCCCATAAACGATGAGGTATCCCATAAACGATGAGGTATCCCATAAACAATGAGGTATCCCATAAACGACGATGAGGTATCCCATAAACGATGAGGTATCCCATAAACGATGAGGTATCCCATATACAATGAGGTATCCTATTAACGATGAGGTAACCCATAAACAATGAGGTATCCTATTAACGATGAGGTAACCCATAAACAATGAGGTATCCCAAGGTATCCCATAAACGATGAGGTATCCCATAAACGATGAGGTATCCCATAAACGATGAGGTATCCCATAAACAATGAGGTATCCCATAAACAATGAGGTATCCCATAAACAATGAGGTATCCCATAAACAATGAGGTATCCCATAAACGATGAGGTATCCCATAAAC